TCTTAAGATATTCTGAAAAATCTTAAGATATTTTAAGGTAACATTAACTCAGAAAACTTTCTTCAAATTTTCTTAAGACGAACTTAATTTATCCTAAAGATATCCCAAATGTCTGAAAAAATTCTTAAGATATTTTAAAGAATCTTAAGATGCTTTAAGGTAATTCTAACTCAGGAATGTGTCTTAAGATTTTCTTAAGAATTTTTGAAGACAAATTTAATTCACCTTAAAGATATTCAAAATGTCTGTAAAATGTCTGCAAAAATTCTTCAGATTTCTGAAGAATTTCTTAAGAAAATGACATTTTCTTAAGAAAATCTTAAGATTATTTTTAGTGGGGTAACCACAGGATAAAGTTTCAAACGATACTTTAAATCTTTGATATGTAGTGATGAAAAAATTAATTTAAAAGTAATACTTAACTACAAAAAGCTTAAATCTGGTTACAACAAGAAATGTTTTTAATAAGTGGAGCAAGTTACGAATCGAGCAAAACCATCACCTCCTACACCAAAAGGCCTCCACACTGTGTTTTATAAGTTGTCCGCGCAGACTATACAGAGAGAGAACCAGTTGTGCGCATGAACCCAAAACCTTTTTTAAAAGTACCTATACCTATATAAAATAAGATGAGTGTACCAGCCACAATAATATTGTGCGGCTTCTGCTCATCCATCATATATATTTGAGAATTGAATCTGTAGTGGTAGACAAGTGAATAAGGCAAATCTATAATATTCATAAATAAAACAAATTTTTAGTCATATATTTGCTACCACTTTCCTATTTTAACTAGATTTTGTATTAAGTGACTCGTTGGAAAAGTGGACTACCTACAGGGGTGAAAGCGAGACGGAAAAGAGGAAAGGCTGGTAGTAAAACCATTACAGTTATAGCTAGTTTTGGGGAGGAGTTTACTTATTCGTTTTTTAAATTTTTCAACAATATCTTCTTTATCTTGGAAAAGAAGCAGTTCTATATATATGCCAGAATTATAAAAGAAATCTTGATAGTTACAGATATTTCATTTTTTTCGAAAAAAATGCTGGAATGAAATGTTTTACGTACCAGGTTTTTTTTTCCGTCTTGCTATATAAGGGCTTTCACCCATTGACTATCTATTAAAAACTGTTTGGAGTCTTTCAGTTATAGGAGGCGTTGGCAAAACTCGAGTAGGTTTTATCATCCGTAAATTATTATTCAACATTCTGCAGCAATTGTAATATTGCTTTATTTAAAATTTTCCAGGGTGGATAGTGAGTTTCAATCTATTAAATTATTTCAATATTAAATAAAATAATCTTATAAAGTATACTGGTAAGTTGCATTTTTCAAACTTTTTATTTATATGTATTTTGAAATCGTTTTTAAGAATCATACACAACCAAGGATGGTGTCTACCGCTGAATCGAATTTGACCTAAATAGTGTTGATAACACTAAGCTCAAAATTTACTAAAGCTATTAAAGTATAAAAGTACAGTTTTGTACTTCTACTCATTAACAACTCAGCAGTTGTTATATAGACTACCAACGATGTAAGGAATGTTTATTATTAATGCTTAATTGAATCATACCAATACAAAGTCGAAAGGAATAAGAGTTTAAAAATATAAATGAGCTACAACAGTATCACATACTAAAAGTACATTTTTGTTTTATACTTTTTTATGAGTCTTAAATTTCTATCCTAATAAAAGAGACATTGCTTTAATTGTATTTCCTTATGCCTAATTCAATTAATCAAGAGGTAAATGGATAGAACTGATAATTTTGAAGGTATGAGGTATTTTAACCGAGTCTTTTGATTCGGTCAAAATTGACATGTGGATAGTTGTTTGACACCTATGTGTTCTCACTATCCCAGTTCAGCTATTAGTTCGTTCAAACAAATTATTGCTTAGTTAAAAAAAAGGCTATTGAAATATGCAATAATTATGTATTCACTCCTAATTTATCATAAACATCACTCCACTGCTGCATGAGAACATTATAATTACATCTCCTATCGTATATGAAGTTTTGTGGATTCACGATCCCCCAGACATGGTCCAGCTATTCGTTAGACGTTGAGGAATAAGACACACAATCATAATTTAAACAGTTCCTATTATTAAAAAGCGGAAAAGTTCCTACTGCAATTAAAATAAAAAGTACGAAGTTTCTATATCTTTCACCATATAACTTTGTTTCCCAATTTGTTACTGTATTATCTAGTATGTTATCTTGAAAATAAACATGAAGTGAACATAGTTAAGCGATTCTGTCAAAATATACTGCCAAAATTGGGAGAAGCGGAAGTTTCCCCCCCCCCTCTTCCCAATGAATATTTTGATTTCATTAAATTCCTACTATGACACGTTCAGTTGTGCAGTTAATTCTGTGAAATAAAGTATTGGACATTTTCATTTCATTAAAGTCCTACTATAACTTGTTTAATCCTGCGGGGAATTCTCTAAATCGGAGTAAGGAATATTCTTATTTCATTAAAGTCCTTCTATAACGTGTTCAGTTGTGCAGTGAATTCTGTGAAATAATGTAATAAGCACTTTGATTCTTTAAAGTCCTATTATATCTTGTTTAGTTGTGAAATGAATTTTGTGCTTTAGAGTAACGGATATTTTTATTTCATTAAAGTCCTCCTATGACGAGTTTAGTTAAGTAGTGATATCTGTGAATTAGAGTAATGAATATTCTGATTTCATTAAAGTTCTTTAATTACTTTAGTTGTGCAGTGAATCCTGTGAGTTAGAGCAATTAATATTACCAATGCAGATGCCTAATAAAGGTACTCAGGTAATAGGTTCTTTTTATATAGCTTTCCGAAACAGATACGCACCTTAGCATGAATTCTGTATTATTGAAGGAATAGTTAAGTATGCGTACCTGCCAACTTTTAGTCCTTTCAAGGATGATTTTCCCCAGTGGTAATAAAATGGAATTTAAATTACATTTTTAGACTGAAACATTCGCTGTGTTTAAATTAAGCTTATGCGTACTACCACGCTTGCTTGATGCTGATGACTGTTGATGATGATGTGGGGGGGGGTCTCTGCTACTCGCTTTTATCCCCCTCGCTCTAAGGTGTATCTTTTGTGAGATGAGTTGTTGGTAGTGAAGATGATGACGATGAGATGGTGAGAGTGTACGCTGTTCTTGAAGAAGCGAAACAAGTTTACAGTACAGATCAAAATTAAATATTTTTCCAAAAACACTTTTGGAGAGGTTGATTTGATAAAATGAATATCTAACATTTGGTGGTTGCAACACTTTTGGAGAAACACGTTCATCAAAACAAAATTCCTTGTAAATAAAAAACTCTTTTTCCCCTCTCAGAGAGGCTTAAACCAAAAACTTAAAATTATGTAACTGCATTTAATTGGAGATTTTAAAACTGGAGACTAGAAACGCTTAGTTGAAATTAAAAAATCCACTAAGTTTTTGAGAAGATTATCATATTGGTCATAACTAAGAAGACAGTGGAGGGAGAGTGGGAAAACTCCGATTGACGCACGCAGTGTTTGTCTCTGATGTCAAACTTTTTGCATTCAAAGAGGAGGTGGATAGCAGATTCTGGATGTTGACAATGGTCGCACAAAGGGGAGTCTACAAGCCCTATTTTTGCATATATTTCGTTAAGTTGGATTGTGTTGCTTCGGAGAAGCGAGATTAAGATATCGTATTTTCGGTTTGGGAGTTGATTGACGGAAGTTTTATTAACAGGGTGAACAAAGGGGAAACGCTTGTGGTATTTTGAGTTAATCCAGAGGTTACTGAGTTCGCGGTTTGAGTCAAAAACTGCTGAATATGACAAGTCTTCAGGAGAGATAAAAGGGATGGCTCGAGGGGCATTGGTGGCGTGTTTGGCAAGTTTATCAGCGGTTTCATTGGGGGAAATGTCAACGCGTGCTAGTGTCCGGGCGATCGTAATTGATTTCACTTTTGCACTTGCTGAAACTATCTTATTTTGTAAGAGGAGGATGCTGTGAGGGGATTTATGGGTGGCTGAGATGAGGGCAGTGATTGCGGACTTACTGTCCGATAAAATAACGTAATCTAGATACTCGGTAGTGAATTTTGTGACTGCTAACCAAATCGCTAAAACTTCTCTGGTGAAAACTGAGTTAATAGGATGGATTTGAGAGATATACGACATGTTGTTCCTTGAGTTAATAGCCGCAATACCTGTGTTCGGACTAGATTTCGAGGCATCGGTAGCCAAGATGACTAAATCTTTCCAAAGGGTCTGAAGGGTTTCCTGATAGAGAGGGAGGATTTCGTTGGGATTTTTCGTAGTCTGAAAAGGAAGATCGTGTACAAAAAGACAGAGGTTCGGGAGATCTGTGAGGAAAACTGGAATGTTGAAGGGGATGAAATTGAATTTGCTTATGCCTTTTTGGTTGAAGATGTCCTGAAACTTGAGGAAAAGGTGGGGTTTCTTTTTAAGTCTAGTAAAATGGAATTTATGCAAAAGGCGATTTATTGGGGAGTGAGAGCCAAGGGAACAGTGACGGAGGTAGAATTTTTTAGCTGCTAAAACAAGTCTCAGCGATATTGAGGTGGTGCCGGCTTCTTTGTGGAGGATATGAATTAGAGTCCATCGTTGGAGGCCCGTTGCTGAGCGGAGGCTAGAGTTGTAGATTGTTTCAATTACTCGGAGATGTGATTTTGGCGCAGAGAAGAGGATTGGGCTACCATACTCTAAGATACTTCTGATTGCGGCATTTACAATCTGAATGAGGTGGTAGGTTCGAGACCCCCACTGAGTGCTAGAGATGCAGCGGAGTGCATTAATTTTTATTAAACATTTCTTTTTTAGGTATTGAAAGTGACAGAGGAAAGAAATGTTTGCAGTGTAATGGATGCCGAGAATTTTTATGGAATTCACTTGGGGAATTCGTTCGTTAAAAATTGTTAACTGAATCGTAGGAGAGAGACGTTTGTTAGAGAAATTAATAGTTGCACTTTTTGAAGGTGAAATAGCCATTTTCCACTCTGTGCACCAAGCTTGAATGGTGATGAGGGCATCTTGAAGTTTAGCAATAACCCTGTCAAAAGATTTTGCAGCATAGTAAATGTAGATATCATCAGCGAACACAAGAATTTGAACTCCAGTGGGAAGGTGTTTGTGAATATCTTTAAGGTATAACATAAAAGGAAGGGGGGAGAGGACACTGCCCTGCGGGAGGCCCTGGGGTAGATGGAAATCTTTAGATCGGGTGTTGCGCCAAGAGATGTAGAAGTTGCTGCGTGATGCTTAGTAATACGTATTAATATATATGCTTAATTTTTTTAAAAATAGCGGTGGATGAAAAAGATTGTAAATGAAGTTTCTAAATGCAAGGAATATATAGAAAGAGTGCATTTTACTACCACTTTAAATATAGAAATAAAAGTTGGGTATGTGTACGGTATTACCCATTCATACATAACCTTCATTTTCATTTATTCGTTGTAGTACATTCTGGAGTGGTTCCATACTATTAGATTTACTATAGTATAAGTGAGACATTCCACGCACCGAAAGAAAAATTAACTATACATGTAGAATCATTTAACCTACCCATCTAACTAACTAATCAAGTTTTTCAGAGTACCTATCCATGAATGGATATCTGCTCTTTCATTAACCTACCTACATACCTGCCAACGTTTACGCATTTGGCGTAAAATGTTATTTTTATAATTAAAGTAGTAGTAGATATATACAATTTTTTTCTTTTATAAGATTAATTTTAAAATGATTCTAATGACCACTATTCTTTAAAAAATTAAGCATACATATTAATATGCATTACTATATTGGTTATCAGCTTAAGCATTTTCAAATACCACGTATACTTTTGCTTACTATTAAAATTTTAATTCCATTTTACTACCACTGGGAAATATTATAATGGAAGGGTTGAAAAGTTGGCAGGTATGTACTTACCATGGCTGAAAGCCTATATATAGCAAAACGGAAAAGAGCAAAAACTGGTACGAAAGGCATTTCATTCTAGCATTTTTTTTTTCGAGAAACATTAAATTTCTGTAACTACCGAAATTTTTCACAATTTTAGCATATATATAAAACAGCTTCTTTCTTTATAGAAAAGTAGATATAACTGATTAATTAAAACAGAGAATAGTTTAATTCCTCCCGAAAACATGTTAAAACTGAAATGGCCTTAGTACCACCTTTTACTCTTTTCCGTCTCGCTTTCACCCATGCTACCTACTCGCAAAATAATTCGGGCCCTCATGGAATAAATATTCACGAATCTTGGCTCAATAAGGAAGTTATTTTCTGATATTAACCCTATATAGGATAGTCCGATTCAACCAATATTTTACTGTTACTCTTCAACCTATATCGGCCCTATGTTCAATTATCAGATTCACCAGATTCAATTCATAAATCAGCCAATATAGGCAAATATTGGCCCTACATATGAGAAATATTAAACAAATTTAACGATATCAATATTGGTTTATAAAGGACCCATATTGAGATCAACTGNTCAGCCAATATAGGCAAATATTGGCCCTATATATGAGAAATATTAAACAAATTTAAAGATATCAATATTGGTTTATAAAGGACCCATATTGAGCTTAACTGGGGCCAAGGCAACGCCTCCTACAACTGAAAGCCTGCACACGGTTTTTATTACAGGTAGTCCGTCCAGACCAGTATGTAGGTAATCCAGTTTATGAAAAAGCCCTTTAATAGAAAATCTAGAAAAAATAAGAAAGTGGTAGCAAATATATGTCTATAAATTTGTTTAATTTACGAATATGATTAGTTTGTCTTATTTATTTGTCTACCACTACAGATTCAATTCTCAAATACATATGATAAACTCCTCTCAGCCAGTTTTAAAATAAAATTTGGTTTCATGCGCTCAAACTGTTCACTTTTTAAATAGTCTGCGCAGACTACTTATGAAAAACTGTGTGGAGGCTCTCTGATGGAGGAGGTGATGGCTAAGGTTGCTAGGGCTATGATATTCAGAATTTTCTGCAAATTTTCATGTCGTAGCTAGCAACAAACATGGCTATACTTTCTTGTAACATTGTTATTTCATTGATTGTTATTCTTGTTGTTTCGTTACTTGTAACAAAAGTAAAAACTACTGTACTTGTACTTCGTTACCTTTTAAATTTAGTTCTTTGACTTTTTTTCCCTTCATATNGACTGAAGCAACATCTTAGATCTATTCAACTCCGATGAATGGATTAAAGCCGCTTCGCAGCTGTGTACCCAGGTTCTCGTTATTTCTACCGTTCTACCTTCGTGAGGGTTGTTGTGCAGCGTCCGAGACTTCGTACCGATATTCCATTTCTACCCGGTGACGCCCACCTGCAGTATGAGATGTTTACAATCGAAAGTTTAAGTCTTAATTGTTCTTTTAATAACAACTTTTAAATGTTTTTTTAACGAATAACTTGTTAATTGGAGTTTGTCAGTTTCTTGATGGTTAGTTATCTTTTACTATTAAAGAGGATGCTTCATTGCAATATTGCTTCATTTGACGTCTTACATTCCCATCACCGAAACATATACACTCAAATACATATGATAAACTCCTCTCAGCCACTTTTAAAATAAAATTTGGTTTCATGCGCTCAAACTGTTCACTTTTTAAATAGTCTGCGCAGACTACTTATGAAAAACTGTGTGGAGGCTTTCTGATGTAGGAGGTGATGGCTAAGGCTGCTAGGGCTATGATATTCAGAATTTTCGGCAAATTTTCATGTCGTAGCAACAAACATGGCTATACTTTCTTGTAACATTGTTATTTCATTGATTGTTATTCTTGTTGTTTCGTTACTTGCAACAAAAGTAAAAACTACTGTACTTGTACTTCGTTACCTTTTAAATTTAGTTCTTTGACTTTTTTTGTCTTCATATTTTTGATGAAAGTACAAGCATTTGTAACGAGAATGTCTTTTTTCAGAATTGTTTAAAAAATTTTCAACATTCATTAATTTTTTTAATTATAAATTTAATGTTTTATATATTCTTTGGTTGCTAACTTCTTTTTCCAAACATCTTTAAAACGTTAAATGCCATGGGGGTCACCGGTGACCGACACTGAGTTTGTTCGCAGCGTCAAGGGGGCCACCGGTGACCAGCGAAGTCAAGTTTATTAGAAATACATAATTCGAGTGAACGTTTATTTTTTTTAAAATATTATTATCGTTTCTAAAACGTTTTGAAGAAATTAATACTATATAGAACTAACAAAAATAGTTTTATTTCTATACACAGAGATGCCAACTTGCTCCTGACCGCGAATGAATATTTTTAAGTGGTAGTTTATTTATTGCGATTATCCACCACTATTTCTAAACAAATCGTAGGCATGTATAATTTACTATTTCTTTCAGATACGTCATTTCAAACCTTTTAAAAAACTAGCAAAATCCGTTTAGTATTTTCAAATTCTGTTTCTAATTATTTATCGTTTAACCAGACGAACAATTAATGTAAAATTAGCGTGGCATTCAACGCGTTAATGATTGCAATTTTCCGAAAGAGAAACGATGACTGAACAGGAAACCCTTACTTTAATGAATTTTACCTGTATATGAATTCATTTTTTCCTCATATCTTTTAAAAAAAACTGCAATGTTATCGAATCTGTTCAACAAATTAAATTTTAACTAAGAACTCTGAAAGAAAAAATGAAATTTATAAAGATTTCATTATTTGAAAAAAATTTAAAATTCCTTTTTTACATGCAAACACTGAATTTTGATTTCTTTCAACGTTCACTATTTCAATTGAGGTTTGTAACATTTTCTTGTATTTTATACTTCTAAATTAAGATTCAATAATTTATTTCATTAAATTGTATTACATTTTTTATGAAATTGACGATTATTTTGAATTCCTTGAAATGTGCTTTAAAGTCATTATTAATATTTTTTTTAGTTGTACTATTTTCGTTACTTTTTAAAAGTATGGCTAGCAATCCTATAAATTGCAGAGACTGGAACCGATTTAAACGTGTAAATATGTTATGTTTCAGTTTTTATATTTAGTAGTAAAAGTTCTGTTTCAAAATAGAAAAATTGACATTTAAATCTTCATCAAAAAGGATTTGACACAATTACAAATAATTACCTCTAGTTTTAAAAAAAAAAAAAAAAAAACATTTTAATAAAAAAAAAATTTTGAGAAGAACATTATTCCGCTAGCCATAAATTTCAAATAAATGAATATAGCATACATGCCAACTTTCACTTTTTCTGAGAATGAATTTTCTAAGTGGTAGTATAACAATTACCGAATTACAACCTTACTCAAAAATATATTAATATTTTGACTAGGATAAAATTCGCTATCGTATAGATTAGTATGCTTTTATATATTTGTTGTAATTATTTAAACGTAGTGGTGATCAAACTCATTTATAATTATTATTATAATTCAAAAATTTTAATGACATGGCATGAGTTTCGGTACCACTTTAAATACAAAATTAAAATCTTCCGGAAAAACCGGAAGAGTTGGCAGGTATGATATAGCAACAGCATGATATGGTAGTAGCTATGGCATTCAAATAAGAAATTTATTACAACATTCTTTAAGCAACGCTTACTGTCCCTATTTAGGAACAAATTCTTTATGAATAATGCTACAGTATATTTATTTACTGATGAATAAAAGTAGCTACTACTTTTTCTAATTAATTTGGGTTCCGACTTCTGTTTTACGAACAAGTTCGTTATGCTAAATAAGTAAAAATAAGGAAAACTAGATGTAGGGGTTGTTGGTTGCGAGAGCTCAGATAGCATGAAAAGCCGAGGAAGAAGGATCGAGGACTGGATCGAAGACCGAAGGTAGGAGGACTAACCGAAACAGTTCCTGCGCGGATGAATACCGGCGGAGGAGCATCAACCGGCTGCCATGGCAGGGAGTGAAAAAGCTGATGTCCAGTACTTAAGCAGATGACATTTTGCCTCCAAAAGGAAGAAGAGGAAAAAGAAGAGGCAAGCCAATAATGAGAACACTGCAAAGACTCCAATCTGCCCCTCTGCTTCTGAAACCCTTCAACAGCCGGAGACTTTCACCTCAGCTCCCATGGAAACTACGGTAGAGAACTCCAGTAAACAGATAGAGCCTTCCACTACTGATGAGAAAGTGCAATCCAAGTTCCT